GCTTCCCCTTGGACCAGGCCGAAGGGCTCAGCCAGGAGATTCGGAATGAGGTGCGTCTGTGCCAGCAGACAGGTGGGGCCGGGGTGGCCCTGCTGTGTGGCTATTTGGTGACCTAATGGTGCGAGCCATGGCCTTGGAGCCCTGAGGTGCTCCCTAGGGGTAAGGGGCGGTGAAGTAGCACCAGTGGGACTTAGGGGGACACAGGGCAGCTGCTGCCTTCCTTGGCCCAAGTGACACTGGGAATCAAACAGTCCCGGGGGTGGGGGGGGGTTGGGCAAAATAGGAGGCAGAGGTTTTTCTGGCCCCAGACTCCCAGAGCACCAGGCAGTGTGGTGCTGCCTGACTGACGCAGGCCCCTCGTGCTGTCCCCAGATCTGTTACAACATCCTGGTTCTGTGCTTGAGGGAGCTGTTCGAGTTCCATTTCATGCAGACAGACCCCAACTGGTCCAACTTCTTCTATGACCCCCAGCAGCACAAGGTGAGCCCCAGGGTGGGGGCACCTGCAGCCAGACCTGAGCTCTGAATGGGGTGCGTGAGACCCTGGTCTGCCCCTCATCCTGGGAGTCAGCAGAGCACTCAAGGTTTGGGAGTGGGGGTCTTCGGGAGTGGGGGTCTTCACTGCCCTCTGTCGCACCCCTCCCCGGCCACACAGCCCCACCATCGAGTGCCAGGGCCAACCTTCTCCTGGTGTCTTTCCCCAGGTGGCTCTTTTGGACTTTGGGGCAACACGGGAATATGACAGGTCCTTCACCGACCTCTACATTCAGGTAAGGTCAGGAGAGGCGCCTGGCCTTGGCCCATATTTCTCCGAGGCTGGGACAGGATGCTGGGGGACTCCGGGCAGGGGGAATGACTGGGGTCCTGACCTCATTCCTCATCTGCGCTGCCTGTTCCTCAGGTCTGGCGACAGCAGCTGCCAGGTGTGTCACAGCACTGGCCTGGGCCCTGTGCAGGGAGAGGGTGGGGTGGGACCGGGTGTGGCACTTGGCTCCCTGGGATGTCGGAGCTTTCCTTCCGTGCTGCCCACGGGTCCCCTCCTGTGCCACTCCACAGATCATCAGGGCTGCTGCCGACAGGGACAGGGAGACTGTGCGGGCAAAATCCATAGAGATGAAGTTCCTCACCGGCTATGAGGTCAAGGTGAGCAGGGCTGTGGAGGCTCCCCTGGACCTGCTGATCCCCCAGCTCCTTGTGTAGGAACAGATGCCAGCACAGGGGGGCAGCTTCCCTTGAGAGGCCCCCAGAGCCTGGGCCCCCTTGTGCACGGTCTGAAAGCTGGGGCCTGCTGTGGCCCATGCCGCTGTGCTCTGTGCGTGAGATTTTCTGAGAGCTGGTGAGTTTGGGGACTCTGGACTTGTCATGACGCTCGTTTCTGCCTCTCACTCTCGCCCACTTAGGGCTTGGAGTCGGGGCTGGACTCTGTTTTTTGGCCAGAACAGTGTTTTTTTTAAAACTCCGAATGAGGGCCGTGAGGCAGGCTCATCCTCTGCATTGTACCACAGGCCGCACCGCTCCCTTTTGTATTGCATCAGCCCAGTTCACACATTACCTTGGGGTTCCCGGCCCCTGCGGGTTTGAGTTTATGCCTGTTACCATGATGTAATCCAGTTTGCAGCAGAGCTTTGAGTAAGAACTCAGCACTCCAGCACCATGGGAGGAACCCAGGCTGGTGGAGGGCTCTGGTGTCTCACCGCCATTTACCCTTCCTCTCCTGCTCCAGGTCATGGAAGACGCCCACTTGGATGCCATCCTCATCCTGGGGGAGGCCTTTGCCTCCGATGAGCCCTTTGATTTTGGCACCCAGAGCACCACCGAGAAGATCCACAACCTGATTCCTGTCATGCTGAGACACCGTCTTGTCCCCCCACCTGAGGAGACCTACTCCCTGCACAGGAAGATGGGGGGCTCCTTCCTCATCTGCTCCAAGCTAAAGGCCCGCTTCCCCTGCAAGGCCATGTTCGAGGAGGCCTATAGCAACTACCGCAGGAGGCAGGCCCAGCAGTAGGGCTGGGGCCCAGGCCAGCTCCGAGGGTACTGTGTCCTTCAGACAGGCCAAAAACCAGTAGGGAGGTGATGGTGATGCTCTGTTTAACTCCTTTGCCCAGTTAGAAGGGGTGGCTGGTTCTCCTGGGAGGCAGGGGCCACCTGGAGCCCTGGAGCCATGTGTTC